CATCAATGGTATTTACGGTATTAATCCAGTTTTCCGGTTTGAATAATATCGTAAATTGAAAGTTTTGCTCGAATCCGAGTGGTGTACCAATATCATTGATAATGCTAATGATTACATAACAGTGATAATTGCGTATTAATTGTGTATATTATATAACGATGGTGTACCAATACTTATATAACAGCATAGAATAACACGGAAATCGGTTGACTTGCGCCCACATCGAGAGCGAAGACAGGTAGGTGGCAAGGTGACTTGAACAACTCCATCAAAACGCATTGTAACTGACCAGATTTACGGAAGTCTTCAGATACTCTCAGCCAAATGCACTTCTCATCGATATATTCCACGGGCCCCATTGCACAAGCCAGATTCTGCTCTGTTGAAACGATTAGCATATCGCCTTTTGCGAACGTTGTCTGCAGTGAATCGCCACTCTTCCGTTGAAATTTCACAATGCCCACATCAGAAATTCCCGGGATTTGCGCAGTTTCTTCTTCTTTTCCGTTCGAATCCTCACAATTTCGCTCTTCCACCAAGCACATTTCAGTCAAACAACGTCCCAATTCTTCGCGTTTTTCTGACGGAATTTTCCACAAATCGGAAATTTTCACTCTCACAGATTTTGCCGCATTCCATTCCATGAAAATCCACTTGATCCATCGATGAAAATATTCCAAATGTGCTGAGGTGAGATGGGCGGTGAGCTGTGTCTGCAGGTCGAGCATTGCCTGGGAGACAGGCGCTTGCGATTCGACAGTTTTTTGGAGTGCACAACAAACCGTTGAATATTCGCACCATTTACACGAACGCGTATCGGACAGAGGCTCTGTAAACCAAGAGATTCTATCAGAAATCCGTTTAAAGCATCCCGAAATTGATCTAAAATTGCCCAAAAATAATCAGAAGTACCAAAAATTCGCTGTAACCTAATCATAATCGCTCGTTATTTGAAGCAGAACATAACTTATAGAACACTGAATTAGTTTTAGTTGCGGGAAACTTCCAATAAAAACTTTTTTTT